CTCTCAGTGCTGAGGCATCTTCTGCTGTTTTGATTGAGCAAAGTAGGAGGGTATACTGCTCCAAGATGGCCGCCGTATTTGCTGCGCTGGAGCGACCAATGCGGGGTCTACTCTTATATTATGTCTATGGTTTTAAAGGATACAAACCCTAAATTTAAACACAGCTGTTTTTTGTTAAACTCCCCCTAGTGTTCTGGAGCACTTCCGTTTTCAGCACTTTTTGTTTGCATCTCTTTTTTGTTTGCTGCATTTTATTTGCGTCTATTTTTATGTTTTCTGCATTCAATTTTTGCGCGTGTCTTTTTTTGTTTGTTTGCATGTTTTCTCTGTTGCTGCGCATTTGCACCTGTCGGCCGCCGTAGTAAAGCCCAACCATGAAGCTTTAATAATTAGAAAATGTTTACAAATAATATCCAAATGTTGTGAATTGATTTTATATTTAAAAGAGACCAAATAGATTCATGGAGCAAAATAAACTAAAGCATAATGGAATAAAAACACTGAAATACAAATCAGTCAAGATACTGAAGATTCCTGATGTAAATTAAATAATTTGAGCAGATTGTTTGTTCTTTGTGACGTTTGTTTCTGTTTCTCTCAGAGTTCCTTCAAACTGTCAGAGGAATATCAGCTTGTTGACCTTTGACCCTGATGAAGACCATGTTCAATGCAGATATGGATCCAATCCCGATAACTATGAGTGCAGCATCTGCACAGCACCGTCTGTCCTCAGTCTGTCATCAGTGAGTAATAAATGTTGGTTACAGCAATGCAACAGAAAATGTTTACAGTTAATAAAACTAAATTGACTGATTATTTAATTAACTATAAATGACTAATGATGAAGAATTACTCTGTTTCTTCATGTTTTAAATAAAAACACACTTTACACTTTTTATTTAACAGCTTTTTAAATAAAAACAAATATTGTTGGTATGAACAAAAGCAACATGAATCCATAGCAGAGAACATTAAATATAACATAGTTAATCTTTCTCTCTCTCTTCTCTTCCAGTCTTGTTCTCTATCATTCAGTCCAACCAGCAGCAGCTATGAAGGTTCATATGCAGTTCAGCTGATAATGGAGGATTTTCCCAGACAGACCATCACTATGACTCGATACGATGGTGTAACATATTCATGGAGCACCAGCAGCTTCATGAGCCAAATCTCTGTCCAGTTTGTTTTCAAAGGTTTGATTTAATGTTTCAATAAGCTTATTTTACTGCTAAAGAGCAACACTGATGTCAGTAAATGTATATTTAATAACTGTCTGTTTAAAGATGATCAATAACTCGATTATTAAAATACATCAAACTTTTAATTTCCAGATGTAGAAATGTAAGACGAGGCTGCACAGTGGCGCAGTTGGTAGAGCTGTTGTCTTGCAGCAAGAAGGTTCTAGGTTCGATTCCCGGCCCTTGTCTTTCTGCATGGAGTTTGCATGTTCTCCCTGTGCGTGGTGGGTTTTCTCTGGATACTCCAGTTTCCTCCCACAGTCCAAAAAACATGACTGTCAATTGCCCCTAGTTGTGTGTGTGCATGGTTGTTTGTCTTCTGTGTTGCCCTGTGACAGACTGGCAACCTATCCAGGGTGACCCCACCTCTCGCCTGGAATGTTAGCTGGAGAGGCACCAGCACCTCCCGACCCCACTGAGGGACAAGGGTGTACAGAAGATGGATGGATGGAAATGGAAAAGAAGAAGAGGACCTGTTATTAAGACAGATTATATGACCAAAGTGTAAATTTACTGAGCCCACTTGTCTGTCTCATTAGTTCATCTGCATTATTTTTCCCTGCGTTGCTCCAGTGGATCCTGCAGCTCCGTCCTGCACAGCAGGTGAATATCTGCCCAGGTTTCTGCCTCCAACTCCTGAACATGGAGCTCAGTTCTTCATAGACGTTAATGAGATGATAGAAATCAACATCACAGCAGAGGCAAATGAGTCTGAGTGAGTAGAAAATAAATATCGTTTCTAATCAGAGGTAAGTTTTCATGGTGAAAATCATATTTTAAAGATAATTTTTAAGTCTGGTTTGAGGGCATTTTGCACATATAACCAACCAGACTGATGTGTTTCCTGTGTGTTAAAGGATCACTGAGCTCCTGTTCAGCGGACCGTTCAACATGGTCAAGAGTTCATCTGGTTCAGGATATTTCACCCTGAGATGGACGCCGTCTTTCAGTCAATATGATGATGATGAAACCCATCCCATCTGTTTTGTTGTCCAGGCAAAGTCAGTATCTGATCTGACCAGAAGCGATAAAAATCGTCATATTCTCTACTTATACTACAAATACTAGTGACTGATAAAAGTAAAGTACCAAGTAAAATTAAGTATAAGTACTAAGTACAGGTTTTGAAATGTACAAGTACAAAAGTAATAAATAATTTTCACCTTCATTGATGCAAAGTAATTTTTGATATGGCTAAATAACTAAAAATACATTAGATTTAAAGTGCTTTTAATGCTATTAAATAAACCGTTCACTAATGGTTCATATAAAACAGAACTGCACTGTTTTATTCTGAATTCCTGGTTATTGTAGCTTTGCAGTGTCATAAGGAGTGGTTGGTGGTGAGGAGAGACGCTAGTAAACCCAGGATGTAGATGAAATAACGAGTTTAATGATGAATATGCTCAAACAATCCAAACCAGGCGGCACGGCAGAGAATTTAGCACACAGCTAAATACCAGTAGTACTGACAACAAGACTGAAAAGTGAGCGAAGCTAACCAGGACTTTACAGTTCCACTGAAGAGCAGAGAACGTGCGTGCAACAACGTTAGACATACATTAGACAAGGACCCAATGAGGAACACAGACAGCAGGTGGGACTAAATACACTGGGAGGGAAATCACAGGAACGAGACACAGCTGGGATCAATCAACGGGAAAGACGCAGAAACAGACTCACAGGACAGAAACTGGTCACAGAAAACCCTACAAATTAATACACTGAACATGGATCACAACACACAGACCCTTTGTTTACTCCTGTTCTGAGGTTTTACAGCAACTCAATCTGCTTCAGCAATATTTTTAAATGTAAATTTGACATTTCAAGTCCCGCCTCCCTCCAGATCACAGAGGGCTCCAATCTGCCTTGTTCGTCCATTTTTGTAATTTGACAGCAACAACACATCATCTACCGGCAGGGAAACTTTTTTCTTCAAAGTTTATTAAAAATGTCAACAATCATCCAGCATCCATACATGTTGGAGTCAGAGTCTGATCCAGAGAACAGCCTGCAGAACCACACATTCAAATGCATCTCAATGTTATTACTGTATTTAAACAGTCTCCATTCATACCAACTACCTACAAAATGGAGCGTAGTTTAACTACAGTGTCCATACAAATCAGATGATCATTAAAATATTAATGCTACAATATAAACCGGCTCTTCTCCACCCAACCAGCTAAAGTGTACTCCCAATGATAGGGTACTAACAACAGAGTAGTGGACGAGAGGACCACAGCAACCTCCCTGAACAAGCCCCAGTAACCATCACTGTGGCAAATGTCCAAGAAAGAGTCTCAGGTATGAAAAACTGGACAGCACCAGGGCCTGACATGATCCATGCCTACTGGCTAAAGAAACTCACTGCCCTCCATGAGCGACTGGCAGCTCAACTGAACCAGCTGCTACAGAATGGGACTCACCCTGAATGGTTAACTGAAGGGCGCACAATCCTGATCCAGAAGGATCCCTCAAAAGTGTCATGATGGGTTTAACGGATCTTACCCACATGCGAGAACACCATAAAAGACGGATGAAAAAAAAGAAAAGTTTTATTTTACAGAAAGCAAACAATGGACGTAAAGTGGTCCAGAAACTGCACGGCTGCTCTCGGTGCAGGGCTCTGTGCGTTCAAACGACTTGGAGGGGGGGTTGGTTTGTCCTGGTCCTTCTAACCTATTGAGTAGTTTCTCTGTGGAGCTTGGTGGTTCGGAGAGTGGCTTTGGAGGGCGGACAGGGAGGCTTGTCCTTGAAGACGGCAGAGTGTAGGTGGAAGCGGCCGGTTGGAAACTTCTGAATAGCTGGCAAAATCTACAGAATCAGAAGAGGTTCGGCTTTCAGGCTTCTATGGGGTTAGAACCCCTGACGCTGTGGGGAGTATCAGAGGTCAGGCAACCAGGTATGGAAGGATCCTGAGGGGGAGCAAAAAATCCACAATGAAGCACAACATAAACTACAGAGATAAACAGGCAGATCACAAGAACAGGGGAAAAACTCTGAGAAAAACTCTGAGAGGCTGGAGGTACCATTTACGGTTGACACTGGCGTCGAAGTACCGGCGTTCCACCCCTCTTATGCTGCCGTAAATTAGATGATCAGCCTCCGGTGTGAAGATGACGTCATCGATGGAACCACAGCCTGCCACCTCTCGGACTCCATCTACTGGGGAGATAACTCAGCCACCCAAAGGAACAAGCTAAAAACCCCAGAACCTAACAGAAAGGTTCAGTCCCATCCAACTATCGGCCAATAACCTGTCTCTCTACAACATGGAAGCTCATGTCAGGCATCATAG